CGGGCTGGCGAGGCCGGCGGATGTCGCCGAGAGAAAGAGAAGGAGCCGCTAGTCCGACCCGGGGACATCCTTGCGTGAGGCGCAGCCTCCGACACGGCCACGGCCGAGCTTCCCTCCCGAGGACCCACCTGAGCGCGCTTCCTAACGCTGGCCTCCGTGCAGAAGCCCGGAGCTTCCGGGTGCTTCTCGCCTGTAACCCTGCACATCACCGTCCCCTGGGGGAACTCACCCAACCACAGCTTCCCCGGCCCCAACCCCAAATTCTGGTTGCGGAAGTTCGGCTACCTGGAAGGGGTCAGCCTCCCTCTAAGTAAGTGGCTCTCAGACACGCGAGAGTGAGAATTACCTACCTCACTGGTCTAAAATCCTGGTGCTCAGGCCCGCCCCGGACCTCCTTCCTGGTCAGTTTGGAGGAAGGTGGACAGGAACACGTGTTTTTAAAGTCCGTCCAGGTGATTGTGATACAACTCGGAGTTAGAAAAGTATTGAATAGTGAGTGAGAGACCCTATTCTATGTTTGCCCAAAATTAGAGGGGGAAATCCTTGAACTAGGACAAATTGATTGCATCTGCTGTTCTACAGAAATGGCTAAATAGCCATTTCCCCGAAAGCCCTATTTTTTTTTTTTGCGCTCAAAATATAAGACAGATGTTTATGTTTCTAAATACAGTGTTTAAGTTCTCTTAAATTTTGCTGAGTGTTCTTATTGAACAAATTTGCAGTTCGCAGATATTTTATATTCTGTGGAGATTAAATGAAAATCATAGGACTCAGGAACTTTGTTTCTTTGTTCACTTTTGTGTACCAGAACTGAGCACGTATGAATGAACACACACAATCATAGATGACACACCTAGAAAACCCAGCAAATTGGGTAAGCCTTTTTTCTTTCTTTTATTTTCTTCTTTTTTTTTTTTTTTTTTTGTATACATTCAGTCAACTCAAAATGGATCAAAGATCTAAACATAGAACCTCAAACTATAAAACCTGGTGGAAAATACAGGGGAAACTTAGAGACATCAGAGTAGGTAAAGACTTTTTAAATAAGATCCCAAAAGCATAGGCAATAATCCCAAAAATGGACAAGTGGGATTACATCAGGTTAAAAAGCTTCTGCACAGCAAAAGAAACAATAATTACAGTGAAGAAACAACCTTTGAATGGGAGAGCATATTTGCAAACACTGTCAGATAAGGGACTGATAATCAGAATATACAGGGAACTCAAGCAGCTTACTCATAAAACAATATTCAATCAAATAAAAAAATGAGCAAATGTGTCAGCCTTTAACTAAATGAAAGAGATAAACGTGAATTAAGAGAGACTCTTTTCTTTGTCTCCTTGCCTATAAGATCATTTGTAGACTTTATTTGAATTGCTACAAGATTAGAGAAAGGAAGAAATGTAGAGAACAATAGAAAATAAGACTGAAAAGATAAGACATAAGAATGAATCTAGGGGGACCAGCAGTTAGCGTAATGGCTGTATCGCCAGAATCCCATGTAGTCGACCACAGTTCAAGTCCTAGACCCAGTGGCTTAAACTCATGCCAGGCACGTGTCCATGCATGCCCAAAACCCTGAGAGAAGAATGGAGGAGAAAGGATTGTGGCGTGGCCATCCCCCCTGGGGGGGCGTGATTTCATGCCTTCTATCTCTCTGTCTCTGTCTTTCTGGTGAGCACACATGTCCTATAGAAAAAAAATCTCTCCAAAAAAAAAAAAAGAATGAATCTAGGTCTTTAACATCAGTAGAAACTCCAGAAGGTGAGAACAGAGGAAATAGGTGAAATTATTTAACAAAAAATTTTAAAACTAGAGGAGACAGAAATCTCCAAACGTAGATCTACTGAGTAATGAGCTGGAAAAAGCAAAATTGACAACAATCATGTAGATATATCATGAAATTTAAGAATTGCAAGGACAAAGAGAAGATTCTCTAAGCTACCAGAGAGTACATTCAGGTCCTCCATGAAGGAATGAGAACCAGGCTGGCAACAGACTTCTCATCAACAAGACTGAGTATTAGGAAACCAGCACTGCCCATAATGTTCCAAGAGGAAACTAACTCTGAACTCATGAGTTCTGTGCCATGCCAAACTACTATAAAATGTGAGGGCAGAATGAACAAGAAAATTAAACATAAACTGAGGACGCTTTGCCTCCCAAATATTCTTTTTTCAGGATGTTTCTTGAGAATATAGGTCAGCAAAATGGAATTATTAAGAAATTGGAGTTGGGTTGGAACTATCAAGCAATGGAGCTAATTCAGCCAAGCAAGGAAGGCAAGTTCCTGAAAGACAGGAGGCTTGCCTATCCATGCTGAATAGAGACTGCAAGCTTTAAGTAAGATAACTGCTGTTGGAAAAGGGAAGTTGCTAGATTTCATATTATCCAGGAAATGTTGGGAAAACTTATTCTAATACTGTCATAAAAGTGGGCAATTGGGGAACTAGCAGGTGGTGTGGTGGTTAAGGCACTGGCCACTCCCTCATGGCCAACCACAGTTGAAGTCCCGGACCTGATAGCTCACTTTCCTGCTTTTCTCTCTCTCTCTCTCTGCTCAAATGAAAATAAATTAATGAATAAGTGAAAGAAGTAATTCTTTATACTAAAAAAAAAGTGGACAATTCAAAACAAAAGTAAAAAGACAACTTGAAATCCAGTAGGGTCAGGTTTTGACAAAAAGTTTACCCAAAAAACAAGTATAGTATAGAATTTAAGTTTCCTGGGCAGTGAGTCATTTTTACATAGATGTAATATATACATTGTTTACTGATTTTCAAATTTAGTACATCTGGAGACAAAACAAGAATTGCCTAACTATGGTTATAGAACAAGTAATAAATATTAAATGTGATAATATAAAAGGGAACAAGAGAGATAAAGAGGAGGGTATAGGATATAAAAGTTTCATCTAACAAAGCAATACTGTTTATAGTTGAAATAAGAAATATGAGTTTAAGCCTATTATAAATCACAAAAGTAATCAATGAAAAAGCTAGTGATTGTGATATATAATTTATTAGATATTGGTAGAGAAAATTTTGTGGGGTAGTTTAATGTGGTTAAAGTCCTATCTATCTTGGTATGAAATGAGTATATAAGATCTATCATTGATATTTCAAGAAATAGCAACAAAAGCAATGTTTACAGATAGAAGTATAGCTAAAGCTAAAAAACAAGATAAATGTGACTCCTCAAGAAATGTCCAGACACATTGGGAACAAATAGGTTGGAGGTTTTGTTAATTTTTGCTTTCAGTACACCTGAATTCATTCATTCATTCATGTTCTAAATATTAGTTGCGTGTCCAAAATCTGCCAAGCTCACATCAATGAAATGGACTTTACTAGAGATTTGGAGACACAGGATATTTTATTTCAGCAATGCCAGAACTAAGTATTGGACAGCATAGTTCTTAAATTTTATTAGGTGGTAGAATCCAAGCATGTTGCCATCCTCTTACCATTTCTCTTTACCTTCTCATTCTGTAACAGATGCTTCAGTCTTCTGACATCCACTTAGTCTTCTTTGTTGGTGTTGTTGGAAACTCACAAAGAGAAATGTGACCTGTCCTGTTTCCCTTCAGATGGGTGGGCAGGAGAAGTCCAAGGATTTCTATGGAGAGATTGTGATTTTAGAGTTCCATGTAGTGAGAGCACAGGATCAGCAAGAAGGATGAGCATACTGAGTAGGCCGCTTGGGAGCTGGAATGGGAAAATAGTCCCTTCTTCTTCACATACACCAGAGTAGTTCTCAACCATGGCTGCATAGCAGAATCACCCAAGGAGCTTTTAAATACCAATGCCCATGTACAGCCTCCTTCCCTTTCCACCCCTCTACCACTCACTATTATGTGATTTTTTTTAAAGAGATTTTTAAAATTTTTGCTATAGGGTATGTGCACTCAATGGAGAAACAGAAACAAAGAGAGAGAGAGGGTGACATAACCCCCCCCCCAAGGGAAGATGGCCATGACCCAACCCTTCTCCAGTCTCCTCTTGAGATTTTGGGCATGCATGCACACACACCTGGTATGAGTTTCAAGTTGCTGGGTCTGGGACTTGAACCAAGATCAGCCATATGGGAGTCTAGCACCTTAACCACTACACCACCTGCTGGCCCCTCACTACATTATTAAATTGAACAATCTCTAGTGAAGGGACATCAGGCCCATGATTCAAACCATAAAGTACAGTTCACATGCAGTTTCTGCAGCTTATTGAATTGGTAAAAACAAATTGGAGCATCAAGACACTTGGTCAAACATTTTCATTCTGATGTTAGTAATATACTCAAAACATGTAAAGAAGAACTACATTCACTTATTTGACTTGTAGTAGTTAACAGTGTAAATAGAAAATAAATGCATAGCATTTATTTTATTGATAAAAAATCAGGGGTCGAAATCTTTCCTACTTGGCTTATGTGCATGTGTACAGACACACAGACACACACAAGTGCATGCACACACACACACACACAACAGTTTACAGTTCTAATTGTACCTCTTATGATGCTCAGTGGCTCCCACTGTTCATATATGCCAGGCAAGTTCTCCTTAGGATTTTGTTCTCTCTGCCTGGAACATTGTTCCTACTATCTTAACTCCTTCACCTGCTCAATGAGGCTGACCCTGATAACATGTTTAAAAGAGCAACCTGCTTTCCTGTGTCCCACGCTTACTCTGCTCTACTTTTATTCTTATCTTAGCACTACTGCCTTCTAACAGGTGATAGTAAGATGTCAATTTTGTGTTGTTTTTATAATCCTTTGCCTTCTTACTGTATCCATTGCATAATTTTTGTTTCCTTCCGCTAAAACACAAATGAATGAGTCAGGGTTTTCTTCTTTTGTTCACTAAAGAAACAAGTGTCTGGAACACTGGGTAGCTCTAGTGAGCACTCAATAAATATTTATTGAACTTCAGTGGCCTCTTAAATAACATTTGTCTCATTACCTCCATAAAAGATATGTGTTTAGCCATGTTATGTAATATGTGTTTGGAATGTGCTAGCATTACACTGTTACATAAAGTCTTTGTGGAGCTATAAATCTCCCCAGGCAAATGTTCTGCCTCCCAGTGAAGCCTGCTGGGTATCTGGGCTGGCAGTCAGAAGATCTGAGCATTAATCTCGCCTTGTCTGTTAACTAGTTATATAAAATGGGGCAAGTCACTCTGAACCTCACTCACATGATTTATAAAAGAAGAGTCAATAAAAATGAATTCCAAGTTTTTCTTCTTCAGTTATATAACTTCTTATTACCACTTGTAAACTTAAGTAAAAATGTCGGTTTTGTGTCTTTAAATTTTCTTGTGAAAGCAATTAGAATGTGTACATTTCTTTATATTTCAAGTTGAAG